GTGTGAAACCCTTAAACACTGAGTGTGATGAGAGTACATTTAAACTGATGAGGAATATTCAAGTTGGAGTTTAAATTCTTGATATAACTGAAAAGCATTATTGGGAGTTTTTAACAAAGAGTTATACATGCATAGCAGTTTGAATTCTTAAGATGTTGTGTTCCATGTTTTCACTGAATTATTCTTTGTTGATAACTTGAATCTATTACATTGCTAAGGACAACAAAGTTCAAATCTGGGAATTGTTTGATATGCGTTCAGCATATAAGGAAATCTAAACCAAAAAGAGAAAGAATGTTGATTAAATCTTAAGCAAAAAGGGAAATAATCACTGTTTATTTGTCAAAATCTTAATCAGAGATTGCATACTGATTTTGTGTTGATTTCGTAGGAAAAACAGACAAATTAGAGCTAAAGAGGGAAAGTTAAACTGAAGGCCCACGCTCACAGCGTGGATATGACGCTCATAGCGTGAAGGGAGCCCTTTCAGGCAGAAGCTACCACGCCACTAGCGTGGTTCCCACGCTAGTGGCGCCATAGATCAAATTCAGGCAGAAGCTACCACGCTACTGGCGTGGGAACCACGCTAAAGAAAAACTCCCACACTCACAGCGTGGTAACCACGCTAGTGGCGTGGGAGGTGCGGAGAATCAGCATTAAATCCTTTTTAAATCAGAGACAAGATTACAGTGAGATGCGGAAAAGATTAGATCACGATTCTCCACCAGGTCAAAGACTCTATAAATAGAGACTCAGACCTCAAGAGAAAAACACACTTTTGCAAAGAGAGGAAGACGGAGGCAGAACGCAGAGCAAGCTTCTTCCCCAATTTTCTGGTTTTATTATTTTATTTTATGAATTCTTTTCAATTCTTAGAATTGTCAGACATAAATATGTCTGGCTAGTTTTTATTATTGTGGTAAGGGTCACATGCCCTTGATGTGAACCCCTTGTAGTTTGGTTAAATTTATATTTAATTATTTCAAAATTGCATTAATTTTATCCTGTTCTTCATCTTTTAATTCTTTTAGAATTGATCACTCTATTAGGATTGCGAGGGTTAGGGTTTTCAATAGGAATATTGGGATTCTAGTTCCTGACAAGGGTAAAATAACAGTTCATGTATGCAGTAGGGATAGGCTACATGAACTGCAAACGTGAAAAATTCACTAGGTTAAAAGATTAACTTGAAAAAGGATTTCTAAGGGATTAGGATTCTAATAGGGTTAATAAAGTTAAGATCACTAAGGGATTAGGGCTTAACTAATTAATTATAGATGGTGAATTATTTGATCAATTGGGTAATTAAATATAAATATTAATCAAGATTACAAGGTGGGGATCGAAAAGGTGTTTGCGTCCTTTACTGCAATAGTTTCTGTTAATATTTTTCTCAAATCTCAACCTTTTACTTTAAAGTTTTCAAACTTCTCTTTGAATTATTCACGAAATATTGAATAGTTCATAATTGTCACAACACAATTATTTCAAAAACCTCTTTTTGTTAATCCAATAAGAAAAGAATAGTTAAACTAGTACTTGGTGCATTAATCCTCGTGGGAACGATACTCTACTTATCACTTTATTACTTAAAACAAACGGTATACTTGCCGATTTCGCAACAGTTGTTTTTCTGTCATAAGATATCAAATCTCCAGTTAACTATAGTTATGCAATTGCTCTTAATCATGAGTTTATTATAAATAGGTAATCAAATAGTTTTCATTTTTTGATTTACCAACGGGTGAGGTTAGATCTATTGACGACCAATAACTCGGTATTTTACGATTGAGATTATTTGATTATTGGTATTTATGAGATGAACAACATGAAATTTGTAGGATATGTCCCGTTGATATGTTTCAGTACTTGGATATTAAAGACACTGGCCAGTGCTTGTAATCCATTAGAAAAACTATCATAGTCAAGGGAATAAATAATTGATGAGTTACAGAAAACTTGTCAATCAATTATAGACATTCTACAAAGGGGCGATGTATATTCATGTTATAAGTGTTATTAATCTTGGAGTTCAAGTTCAGGCTTTTAGTGGAGTGGCACCGAATTAGATAATCATTCATTGATTATCAGGAGCCTTGATTAATAACAAATGGTAGATCCCCAAGTTAGCTTGAGACAAGGGATGAGGTGTTTTTTCAGTTAATGGTGACTTATGGGTTACCTGGTCTTGGGTTTTTTGACTCAAGTTTGTATCCAAAAGAGCAAGTGGGAGATTGTTGGGTTTGTGCTCTTTTACTAAAGCCCAAATGGGCTAATAGTATAAGAAGAGCCCAAGAAACCTATAGCCCAATGAGCTTAGAGCTAGGGTTTCTTGGAACCCATATAAATACTACCACTTAAGTCATCATCCTCTTAGGTCATTTTTGAACAAAGAGGTAAGCGCAGATCTGAAAAGTGCCCACACACTTCCCCTTCCTCCTCGAGAGATAGTTTGGAAGGTTTACCATAACAGAAGAGATCTGTTCGTGTTGTGACGCAACAGTTCGTGAGTTCGTGCTGTGACGCAAAGGACTCAAGCGTGTGGAGCATCATCTCAGAGATCTGCGCCAACAAGAGGTAATTGTAAAACAATGATGATTCTATACATCCAAACCACAATGGTCTAAACGCTTCCGCATGGTGCAATGGCTCCTACACTTGATTGATGCATAATATTCCATGGACTAATTTGTTTCAATAAATAGCTCTCCACCAAGAAGATGATTAGTTCAGCTAGCCAACTTGATCGGCAACTTCTATCCTTCAAACCCAAGAAACCTCTGTCAAATAAGTTTTGTAATAATACAGTCATAGACTTTATCCTTCTATGGCAACTAAGGCTCACTCATCCTTCTAAAACCATTACGAAAGTCATGTACTCCCAATTTCCTTTTCTCATGTAGCAATGTTGCACCACGTGATATATGTTATATCTGTAACTAAAGAAATTTCCATATTTTTCCTAGCAATATTAAGACTGGCACTCTTTTTGAACTGAATTTCATGTTGATATGGGCCCCCAATGCAAACCCATCCATTCATGGACACAATTTCTTTCTCACTATAGTAGATGATTTTTTTAGATTTACTTGGGTTTTTCTCATGAAATTCAAGGCTAAAATAAGATTAAATCTACACCATTTCATTAACTTGGTAGTAAATCAGCTTCACATGTTTGTAAAGATTATGAGAATTAAGTGATAATAACCAGTGTTTTAAAAATCGGCTCGGACTGGCCGGGTCGACTCGGGTCTCGGTGACCCGGTGGGTTCCCCGGTCCGAGTGATTATTTGGACCGCTTCTGCAGTCAACCCGGTTTGGATCGGTTGACCCGGCCAAAACCCGGCGACGCGATTAACCCGAGTTAGATTGGTTGACCCTTTTTTATTTTTGGTAAAAAAAAATTTGGTTGATGAGAACTCTTGAATAAATCATATTCATATTTTATGGTAAATATGATTAAAAAGTAAGGTGAAAATAATAAGGTATTTTGGATTAGAGCAGTTCGTTTATGTAATTTAGTTATAATGATCGCATGAAGTTAAGTGGTGATAAACACTGATGGTCTCATGATCTCATCTCAACGGTGAATATTTTCTCCTTAGTGTATATTTCATGCATACTGTTTGTTATCATGATTTAATTTATCCGTACAATCTCAAGCACAAAAGGTGCATTTAACTTACATTGCAATTTTAATCCAATATCAGGATATGGTCTAGAGCTAGAAGCTTAGAAGTATATAATATTTTCTATCATTGAGAACCAATTTATTTTTTGAAGATCATTGATAGTTTTCTTATGTGAATTTTTAATATAAGTAATATGTTTATATTTTTTAATATGTGAACAGTAAATCTGGTTCAACCCGGTTGAACCAGTGACCCAGTACCTTAACCGAGTCGATGATCGGTCCGAGTTTTAAAACACCGATAATAACAATGCATTATTAACCATCTTTTCCATAACAAAGGCATTTTGCACCAAACTACATGTGTGAATCTTCCCAACAAAATGTGCTAGTAGAATGCAAATGGCTAATTGATCAATCTACCCTTATTTTAAAAATTAAATATCAACTTATCCTACTTTCAAAATTAGTTACCAATCTACTGGTAAGAATGATACAAGGAGATCAAAACTTTTTTATAAATTATTTTTTCACCAATAGGCTAAATGACATAACATAATAAATAGACTGATACTATATCTCAACCAAAAACCTTATGGTTATAGGTCTATGGGTGTTCATCACTATTATGGTCCCCACTTAATTCATTTCCAATGAATGTGGAACTTGTTCACTACTCATATTTGAATATTTATATCATCTATTCTATTTTAACTGAAGTTTGACCATATTTGACTATGTGGTCCTATAAATGTGCATGACACGTGTTAGTCATATGACGATGACACTTGTCACATTTGTGGAACAGATGTGGTGAAAATAAAATATATTGATTAATAATTTTAAAAATAGAATAAATTGATAAAGAATTTATGAATTAACGGTAGATTCATCATTCTCTCAAATTCTTGTTGGATTAAAATCAGCATATCGCATGTATTAACAATAACACAATATATTTAAAGAATCAAAGTTGACCTTTTTATTCGATAAAATTAATTAAACCAACGATTTGCAACGAGTTTATTCCCATTTGAAAACACAACTACAAACCAAATGGTGGTAGCTCAGTTGGCGCATGGGAGCTAAGCAGGTGGAGGTGAAAGCATGTGTTCGAATCTCTCCAGTACCACCTTTGGGAGGAGTTTAAAGTCTTAATCCTGGATCCGCCCCGAATCGGATTAGTTGCGAAGCAATGAACCGATTGAAATATTTCTAAAATAAAAAAAACACAACTACAAACTATTTTTTTTTGGTTAAGTATTTGACTTAATTACATTGCCATGTCATTTATTTCCTATGATACAACATATTAATCAATTAATCATATCATCATATGGAAATAATCAACAAAAATAAATAACCCAAAACAAGAAGTTTTTGGTTTATTCATCAAACCTTTAATAACATGGACCCAAGTTTACATTTCTTACACATTACACATCTATGAACAATTGCAAACACTCGCACACCTTGAGTCATGATATAGTCCCTTCAAATCTATAGGTTACAACATTGCCCATTAAGTCTTCTTCAATCACTATATATATCACAAAAGTTTCCCCCAACTTCATTTTTCTTTTTTCTTACTTTCTATAACTTCTTGCATACATATGATTAGAGTTTGCCACAATAATAATAATAATAATTAAGAAATGCCAGAGCCAACTAAGATTTCTTTCTCCTTAACTAGCCCAAAAGCATGATCATTAATTTTTAACCACCACTCACTTGCACCCACCAACACCAAACCCAACTCTACCACCACCAACATCATACACAACTTGAAGTGTCTTCTGTTGCACATTCCCAAATATTGTAACATCACTATCATCACTATTTGGAGCAAACGCCAGGCACACCTGCTTCTCACTCCCAACATAAAGTATCCCCGCCGCCGCAAGCTCCACCGTCACGCCGCCGCCGAACTCGAACTTTATCTTAGGAATCGAAACCACCTTGTACCCACTGAGGTCATAGCACGTGTCGAGTATGGACAACGAGCTGGCAGGCGGATACTTAGACATGCCCTGCCGGAACGCCGCCTTCAGGGAGCTGTACGCCGTCGGCGGCAGCCGCGTGATGACGGTGCCGGAATCAATGATGGTGCCACCGGAGGAGAAGGTGGAGGAGGAAACGGGAAGCTTTGCGCCTCCGACGCTGATTCCGGCGATGTCGAGGCCGTAGAAGGAGGAGCTGCGTGCGATGGTGGAGAAGGGAGTATATTTGACTTGGTTGTAACCGCCGCCGCCGCCGGCGGAGCCGAAGTTGAGGTAGCCGACGGAACTGGAGGTGGAGGGAAGACAGTAGGAGAAGATTTTATTGTATTTTGAGGATGTTTGTTGGACGAAGGAGATGGGGTGGCGGCCGAGGCCTAATAAGCCGGCGGCGCCGCCGAAGAGGCCCTTGTTGTTTTGGCCGCAGCCGAATAAGTACTCGGGCATAAAGTCGGTGGCTGTCACCGTCAGCCTCTCGCGGCTGAAATAACCGACGGAGAAAGATGAGTCACCGTATTGGATGCCGTATATACATGCCTTCGTAGATGAAGCACATCCTGGGTCGTTTCCTGAATAATTACACAAAAAATGAAATAATTATCTTTTAAGAAAAAAATTAAAATAAAATATTCATATTCTGATGGAATAAAAAACAATAATGTTTAAGGAAATTCCCAAATGAATGCAAATTTTCCTTTTTCTTTAATATTTTGTTAATTTTATATGGTTCACCCATTGTCAATCCCAAGTCTAATTGGCTTTTTGATCCTTTTCCTAGGAATTTGATATTTACCTGCTTAAGTTTTTTGACAAATTATTTATCATTTTAATGCTGCAAGACGCATGTCTTGACAATGCGAGTTCAGTCGCATATCACCTCCATGTGATGCATATTACCTCTTTGTGCGTTCAAGTTGCGCATACCTCCATGGGCGTCTTACAGAATATAACACATAACATATTTTTGCATAAATTGCATATGAGAGTGATGAGCGACTCAATGCACACTGACAAAATATGTGTCTTGCAGCATTAGATTGATAAGTAAGTTTGTCAAAATTTAAATTGGTAAATAATTTTGAAATTCACCTAAACATATCAAAAAGCCCAACTAATTTTATGATGTGATGTTATCCTCAAATGATTGAATATTAACTGATATACTGTCAGGGTGTGACTTTCTTACAACAACAAAAAAATTAACTAATTAAGAGAAGAAATTTTGTGCATAGGTTTTTCCAGCATGTGCAAGATGAAATTTTCTTAATAAAAAGGTTTACCTGTAGCGGAAGAGAGCTGAGTGCAAACCGAAGATGTGCAAGAGATATTGGAATAAGATGTAGACTTTGATGGATCAAAAATATCATCTTTTTGCTTGTAACATGATTTAGCACAAGGTTGACACTGAGTCCAAGTGAGATCACTACCCGTATCAAAAATGAGTGACAAGTCCCTTTTTGGTGTCCCAAGACCAACTACAACAAAGTAGTTCCCTGACCCAATAAGGCTACCAGACTTGGCCGGTAGGATAGCACCAGCAGAATCTAATTCCTCCTCGCTTTCTTCATGGCCCAAGTTCTTTGATATCCTGGAGTGAATAAAGTTCACCCTATCTTCATCTAGACTCAGAATATCACTGTGTGTTGGAACCTTTGCTTTCCCATCATTCAGTTTAGAGCACGGTCCGTGTTTGTGTACCACTTCTAAAGATGCTTTTCTTTTGGGACCTGAATTAGATTTAGTGGTGTCAAATCATTGATGGTTAACCATTATGTTAAAGAGAATAATAAAATTGACTTTAAGTTAATGTCATTAACAAATACAATGTTACAGAATGGTATACATACAAAAGTTACACATGGTTTAATATACACATAAACATATATGAGATTAAATAATGGTGCCCATGACCATGATAATTATTAATTGTTTTAAAAGGAAAGATTGGTATATTGGAACTAGATCTCTCAAAGATAAAATCTTATCTTGAGTGTTTGTCAAGTACTATATCAATTAGTGGGTGAAGTTATTTATATCCACTAAGAATTTTGTTCTATTATTAGTTAGGTACAGAAAACTAAAACCCTACACCACCTAATTAATATTAACTTAGTACAAATGAAAATCCATTTTTCGAACTTTTAAGTTTTTCACACTGGCAGGTATTTTCTATTGTTGGGATGATCACTCAAATACAATTATTTCTTTAACTATTACAAGGAGTTCGCCGGTCATGAGTGCTATCTTAAACCTATTAGGATCACCTAATTTTTTAGGCTATCATTGTTCCTTTTTTGGAGCTTCCTCAAAACGATATAATAAACTTACAATTAGGCCCTTTTTTTTCAACACATGCTAAAATTTTATTTTATTTTATTTATTTTTGAAGTGGATCCTCTAAATTTAAATCAAGGGTAATAAAAGAATGAATTAAAATAAAATGATTAAAAAAATAATTACTCTTAATTTGCAGTTAAAGAACTGAGATTCTCTCACATGTTATCATGTCATATGAGAAGATTCATTCTCATTTATTTTTTACTTAAAAACAACAATTAATAAAATACAAAAAAAATATTGATACTTTTTATGAAACATGGTTAAATTAAATTTTAAGTTGATATTATATATGACTAAAATTAATTACATAAAAATCGGAGAAATAATAATAAGAAGCAAGATCTAATTTTAACTATCATTCATCCCCGGCCCAGCTGTAGAGCAATTGTATCCCCATCATATTAAATCATTGACCAAACGTTTTGGTTTCTCTCTTCTTTCTTTGCGTCTGTTGTAATTGGAAAAACTTGTCAAGTTAAGATTCAACCTTCCATCTCAAAAATCTTTTAGCCAAAATTTGTCAATTTCTTCAGCAGTATACATACCTACGACTAGTAAAAATTAGCCACGTGTGTTTTATTGTTTTGTTTCAACTTACAGTGAGTTTGGGGAAATGCCAAACGTGAATAAATATTGTTTTATTCTACGACTAGTAAACAAAACAAGGAAATACATTAATGTCCACTAGTTGAACAGTGTTTTTCATAACTTTTGGATTATTGGTACAAAATAAATCATCTAGTCTCTATTGTCATAAATACTAACCATGACCCGTGATAATCGAGTTTCTGATAGTCATATGCCTAAGGACTAACCGTGATCAGTGACCCGTGATATAATAGACTTTACAACTTTGTCCATACCATACACCAATAAAAGAAGAAGAAGATATATATATATGCATTTTTGAATGATAATAACTTAATTTGCAGAGATATATAATAGAATTGATTTAATCCGATTTTGAAGAAGAAAAAAGCCATGAAAACAAATTTGTTATATATTTTAAATCAATTAAGAAAAGAGTATTAGTTGAGTATAAAAGTTAAGTGATTGAGGTAACTAAATATTAATAAGGAGATAATGTGTATTGCTACTTAATAAGTTAATAAATTAGTATCAATTTTTTAATAGGGTGGATTATACTTATCATTTTTTTTTTCTTACCATTTTTTACAAACTAATTTTGTTGTCATTGAATCAAAATCAAAATTGATAATTCTCACTTGATGTCATTTTATAATTGTAAATTTAATTTTGGTTCAATAATAAGGGATAGGATATTGTGACAACCAAATAATGTTACTACCACATCTTAACCGTTGATTTCCATCAATCAACGGTTATCATTTATTGCGAATTAATAATTAATTAATGAGTTTGATTTGAAAAATGATAACCGTTGATTGTCGGAAATCAACGGTTAAGATGTGGTAATAACATTGGTAATAACATTATTTGGTTGTCACAATATCTTATCCCCAATAATAATAATAATAAGATTAGTTGGAAGAAGTAATAAGAAAAAAAATTAATAGTATTACAAATAATAGATTATTCAACTAAGGAATATGTGAGTGTTAGCTAGCTATTCCTCTCTAGCTTTATAAGTGATGGTGGGTTCCACGTGAATATTCTACGTGACAATGATGTGAACCCTTGAAAAAAATGACACGGGCTATTACACGGAAAACTAAGGTAACTAAATTGGCATATTTGCTCAATTGCTCTCTCTCCTCTATAATTTTCCAGTTTCCGCTAGAGGATATAATTTCTCTGAACATCAAAACGCTTAGATTATATAATGTCATATATAAGGGCTATATACCATAAATATGCATGCAAAATAGCATACGAATATTGACAATCGAACAAAATAATCTTGGAGAGTGATTTCCTAAAATAAATTTAACAGTATTTGAATTGGACTAATTAATCAGACAATCAATAAACCAGTAGATATATATAAAAAAAATAGCATACAAATATTGAGAAGTATCATGCATGTAAAAATACTTCAATGAAGCTTAATTAATCCATTGTGGGAGAGAGAGAGAGAGAGAGAGAGAGAGATGGAAGATTGAGATGACCTTTGGTAGAAGAGCTACAAGAAGATGATGGAAAGAGAGAGTTGAGGTGAACAAGATGGTTGCTTTCAGTGTCCTCCCTTCTCGTTTGAAAGGCAAAGCTCTTCTCCAAGGAGCATAAGAAAAAGAAAACAGCAAGAGAAGCAAAGAGGAAAGAAGACATATGAAAGGCCATAAGAGATAGAATAACTCGAGTCCTTCAGAAGGCTTCACCACACACTCTATGTAGGGTGCTTGGCCTTTATAGGCTAGTTCATGGGGTCCAATAGTTATTCAATTTTTACACGTCACCCATTATATAACAAACAACATTTCATTGAGTTTGGTTCCTCTAAGGGCACATTAATTAAGGACCAATCAAAAACAATCCACTAGAGGATTTTTGTTATTCCAATATTCAGGTCCATATTTTGGTGCTGTAATTTTACATGATAAAATAAACTGAAATTAATAAAAAAAAATGTAATTCAGAACATTAATGATACTCACATGCTTACATATATACATCCACATACTGCTCCCTAAGCGATTAAATAACAGACTGAGTTTCTCCTAACAATTTCACTTTTATTGATATATATATACTTAAATTATGCGCGCGCGCATATATATATATATATATATATATATATATATATATATATATATATATATATATGGTAAAATCATTTGTCCAGCCGCTTTACGTACAGCAACAACAGGTGTATGGTTATGATTCTCGCATTTAATGCTTTCAAGTATATATATGACAAGTATTTGATTATTGCACCTACAGCAGCTGTAGAAATGTAAACTCCTATATATATATATATATATATAGGGGTAGGATCCTTTGACAACGGTGTCAAATTTTGAAATTTGACACCAAATCCTAACCATTGATAACGGTTATCATTTATTGGGAATCAAATTTATTAATTATTTATTAATTCTAAATAAATGATAACCGTATTGGCGGAAATCAACGGTTAAGATTTGGTGTCAAATTTCAAAGTTTGACACTGATGTCAAAGGATCCTATCACCCACACACACATATATATATAGGGTAAAATCATTTCTGCAGCCGTTTTACGTATAGCAACGACAGATGTATGGTTATGATTCCCCACATTTAATATTTTCATCTTTTGTATTGTTATGATTCTCCGCATTTAATGCTTTCACATATATATGACGAGTATTTGATTGCTGCACGTACAGCAGCTGCAGAAATGTAAACTCCTATATATATATATATGTGTGTGTGTGTGTGTGTGTGTGGTAGGGTTATATTTACAAATTTTTTGTTTACAAACTACACTATGTATTCTTGGAAGTACAATAGGTTACACTATGTCCGGAAGTACATAGTAAAATTTGTACACAGATCATTCCCCATATATATATATATATATATATATATATATATATATATATATATATATATATATATATGTATGTAGGATCCTTTGACACCGGTGTCAAATTTAAAGTTGGACACCTCATCTGAGAGTCGTTAGATCAAAAGAGATCAATGACTCTGATTTGTAAGCATATGACACCATTGATCTTTTTTTATCTAACGGCTCTCAGATGAGGTGTCAAACTTTAAATTTGACACCGGTACCAAAGGATCCTGCCTCATATATATATATATATATATATATATATATATGGACTTTGTTATTGTAATGTTGCAAGAAGAGAAATTCTCTCCCGCAACAACTAACCACAACATTTTAATGAAAGAAAAGAAGAATGAAAAATCTAAATAAAAATAATAAAATATTATGTTTAGTTTTTGCAGTCAAAATGAGAATAATAAGTCTCTATATATATAAATACAATCCCACGTATGAATAGTGGTGAAATCCTAAGTCCCTCTATATATAAGCGCGCAATCCCACATATGAATAGTGGTGAAATCCCAAGTCGATTATAAATAAATTAAGTGACAATCATATAAGTGTAAAAATTCATAAATGTATCATCTTAAAAATTTGGGTTAATATATGGAGTCAACTCATTTATCGTGATTTGTATTTGTTCCATTGGTGGAAGAATTCTTTGCAAAGGGTTTTGGATTCCCCGTACCATTTCCAACATATACCACTATACTTCTTATTGTAAAACTTTTTCTTTCATGTAAAATCCAATTCCACTTCAGTAATTGATTATTCAACATGTTTTATTTCTTTATTTTTTTATCAAAATAATAAAATAAAAATAAAAAAATATTTTTATTCTGATGAATTATTATTCTAGTAGCTAATTTTTTTAATAAATAATAATATTTTACAATAGAATAATAGCAGTAATTTTTGTTGTATATATTCAAAAAATAATTTTAAGATTAAATAAAATATATGGAAAATTAAAAGACAACATAATATCAGATAATAATTTCCTATAAAAAAATTTCATTTTTAAAAATCATTTAATACCATCTCCATACGTATAGTGTCTGACTATTTGCGAATACAACCGAATTTGTATAAATAGAAACTCGACTAATATAAAAAGGGCAATTAGTTCAATTAATAAAAGTGATGTATGTAAAATACGATGACCTGTACTTGTCGGAGGCTCTATCCCAGCAACGGATCATAAGAAGAGATTGGTAAGTAATTTGAATTAAATATTGTACAACTAAAAACTATTATTTCCTATTTTCATCATGAATGGTTGGATCACCTTTTTGTATTGCAGATGATGGATCCTACTATAAATCCAGAGTCATTATCTTGCGAGGTATTTAAGAAGATGCACATAATTAAATCGAATGGCTCATGGGTGAATGACAAAGCAAAGGGATATGCAGTAAGATTGTAATATTTGAGATTTATTGTTTATTTGATATTGAATCAAACTTAAGAGATAACTAATATAATTTTTGTAATTTTAGGATGACTTCTTAAAGCGAAGGACTGATCGTGACAATGCATTGGCGGCTGGGGCAGAGGCATCCACTTGTCAATCTGATGATGTGTTATTCTTGCAAATTGTTGGTGGTATGAACAAGAAAGTTCGAATATATGGTTTGAGTGCATGGGCGTGGAATTATAAGTCTTCAAATATTTCTACTATCTCGTTAGGAGTCTCAAGATATGAGTATAATTGGATATGAGTATAATTGCATGAGAGACTTGGTCACCGGCTTATCTAGCCAGAATGAGCAGCTACAACAGAAATCTGAGAACACACAATAACAAATGACTGTTATGAAAGAGCAAACAGATCGAGAGATGACAATTATGAAAGATCAAATGGTGATGTTGATGGCTTGTTTTGGAAGGGATGTGTGCACCTCCATTACTATGATTCCAGCACTAGATGCCAGAGTGATGATTTGATTATGATAGTGACGCTTAGTTGCATAATGATAATTGATATGATACATGTTTCCTTTTCTTATCTTAATTTATGAATATTACTTATCGTCTCATACATTTGTTATTTTTCTTGAATTGACGTTAAAACTTATTGTATTACAACAGTTGGATTTGATTTGATACTTCATTTTCATTTAGTATTAGCTACTTCATATTTTGTGTCAGTTGAATTTGTCGTAGGAATATTAGATGTTAACTAATATTAGGTTTCAATAAAAATTAAATTTTCAATGTAATTTATTTTGAAAAAATTCAAATATTAAGGAAGAAAAATGGAGACAGAAATATTTGTCACCAATTAGGACAGAAAACATTGTCATGAGTAGAGATAGAAACAATATGTTGATAAAGGAAAAAAAAAATTCGATCACTAGCAGAGACAGAAACAATGTCACTAATAGAGATGAAAAACTTATATCCCTAATAGATTACACATATTTCACGTGCATAAATTAGCGATAGAAAACAATATCACAAGGATAAATTTATCCATCCCTATCAGGGAGGGAAATATTTTTGTTTCTGATAGTAACAGAATTTTTTTCGTCTCAGATAAAGACAGATTTGTTTTGTCCTAAAATTCGTCTCTATTATATATGGATTCATAGTTTCGTCTCAAACTTGTTAGTGACAAGCCATTTATTGACTAATTTTTTCCTATCCCTAATTACGTCACTAGCTTATTTAGTGACCAAAATATTTCACTTCGTGACGGAATTATTTGGTTTCTAATTGATGTTTTTTTTAGTAGTGATATACTGATATCTAGCTTAATTATTATCTTTGTTTTTTTATTGCTAATATTTAATCCTATTTGTCATACGAAGATCCCACTATCTTCAATGCAAGTGGAGCACTCGTGAGTCCTCCTATCTATCTACGCACAAAACAATATCCTATTAAATAATTAGGCCTTCAATTTCTTCAAAAATATTATCATTAGGGAAGCATGGAGTTAGTTAATTCTCAATTTTCCACTTACCCACTTAAAAGAACCTTCATCGAAATCAATGATTAAAATCCCTCCAATTCTTTCCTTTACAATGTTAAGATAGTGTAAAATAACCAATTCAACCAAATAAATAAATGATAATTATTTTAATAATTTTATAATAATATCCCTAACAGGTTGAGTTCCATTCATTAATTTCCTTTCCCGGGCCAACAAATAATTGAGTACAATGCCAAAATAATCAATTAGCAAATGAAACAAAACTAAAAGGGGTTATTATAATCAACTCACATACTCAAACTAAAAAAAATAAATATGGTGATGCCTGTCTATTAGAATGACTCAAGTTAATCAATGAAAGAAATATCTCACACTACACGCCTAGAATCTTACCCACTAAAATTTTTGGATTATAACATGCCATTTCAATTCTGGTTAAGTGTGTAGATATTTAATTAATATATATAGTTGGGTATTATGGCTTACAAGAATCATATGTTGATATGACTTGAGCTAAAAAGCTCTTCCACTGTAAAAATAATCACTTTGCTCAATACTATATAATATCTCAAAGAAAAGAGAAAATGAAGAGGATACGACACCATGAAGTTACTCATGATCAGTCCAATCCAAAATGGCACTTGTTTTAAAATTAATACATATTATCAAGTTTTTCTTTATTATTAAATTGGTAATACAAAAATGAAACTTTCAAAGTAAAACATATGTTGAAGCATGAAATCAGAAAAAGAAATAAATTGAAGGTAACTAAAAGGATCATGATCCAACCACATTGATGGAACATTTAAGGGGCATTGCGATAGCTTTTCCCTCCCACTCCCTTCCCAAAATTTTCTTTTTGTATTGAATATTGTTTAA